TTATATGAGTCGGTATCGTGTTTCTGGTACACGACCAATTAACAAATTTTATGTTGTTAAAGTAAATGTCTTTTTATAATTAAAGTTTAACAAACTTTATTGATCCTAACTTGCATGGATTATAAGTTTGTTAGTCACATCGGAGGTTCGCATTTTGTTCAAAATGTATAAAATCTATATTTGAAAAATAAAAGTTGCCATGTGTATGTTTTCCTAGTATGTTTGTTGCATAACGCGCGCACAGAAGTAGACTGGGGCAGAATAATTAATTAGCATTGTGACGATTTCTGGTAATGGCCTCAAGGGTTTTATCCATGACTGTTAGAGAGTGCTCCATTGAAGCTGCTAGTATTACCTTTGAAAGTGTTTGAAATCCACAGGCGACTGGTGAAACTGATTTACCTTCATTTTCTTCCCACATTTTCTACATAAAAACGATTCAAATAGTGTAAAGCAACGAGAACCCCTAATTGTGCAACCTTGCATGTTCCCAGAGTCTTTATTAAAGACCCTGGTATCGGCTGGTCACGTGCCTCGTCCAAAATTTAGCGCCCAAGGGGGGGGGTTATCAAATTACATGCTTCCCGTGGAATATTATGTTTAACAGTTAAAAACATATAAATTTTGGGAATTATTAAGTTAAAAAAAAATACTTGTAATTTTTGTTTATTTTATTTGCTTTGAATTTACTAGAACATTCTTACATTTTTGCGAACAGTCAAGTCAAGAAACCAAGCAAATACAGTGCTCTCTCGTGTTGTTATTCGATGCTAGCTCTCTTCACACTTGAGCACGGTTTTATAACAAACGTTTATATATGGGCTTTTCAGTGGTCATCATTTCTACATATGTAATGTTTTTAAAATATGCCATTACATTTGTCCTTTCTTGTAAACGTTCATATGCTTTGCACCGATTTACTTGTACACGTCTTGTTTATAAGATTTTTAAAAGAAACAGTAATGTATTGTCTAGGAATATATAGAACCCAATATTAGCAAATGTAAACAATTGATACTAGCCAAACAGAGAAATGTCGATTTATCTTTAAAATTTTGGATTTAGTACATAATTCGGTAATTATAAGTCTTTAGCCTTTTTCTTGGTCTCTATTAATCATAATATTTTCCTAATATACTATAATCTATATCACAATATTTACAGTGTCAGGTGCGCACAGACTGTCATAGTACTGTGGTCATACGAATAGACATAAATTATCTACTTCTACATGAACTTTTTTAAAGTTTTCATTGTGAATCACGTGTTTATCTCTAGTTCATTAGGCTCTCAAATATATTTGTATATTTATTTGATAGTGTTATACGTCATACTGATACATACGCATTTACACACAAGCAATCCTGGATACTGATAGAGACGATACAAGATGTCCATTAAAAAATAACGGTATTCCACAAAGCAAAAAATTTAAATCTGACTTGTATTATTAAGAACATCTATAAAGCAAAAAAACTAAAGCTTGGGTCAAAACGAACGCTGTTTATAAAATGTATAAATGTGGTAGGCCTAAACACTGCTAAACTGAGTGCTCATTGAAAGACAATACAGTATAATATACTGTCGTTTGACTTATCTTTGATGCATGACTTTAATGACCGTGATCGTTGAGTTTCAGCAATGCGAAGGGCCAATGCAGGAAATGTTATAGTCTTTTAACGAGCTTTACGTTTTTTAATAAGGCTTTTATAATCAACAATCTGGATACAATTGGCGTCTTGGCGATATTTCGGAAATCAAAAGATCTCGCTAATTTCGTTGCAATTCCACATCTCATCAATAAATAAATTCTTTTGGTCCGATCGAGTATCAGGATATACGTTAATACTAACAGTTTAAGAAATAAAAAACAACCACATTGCATGGTCGGTCCAGAGATATATATTTTCTCGGCTTATTGCCATGAACGCCGCCCAGGCGTGCTTTCTTTGCCAAGTCTATAAGTTGAAATCTGATCCAACTTGCTCGAATTGTACTCGACACTAGATTATGGAATAGAAAGTCAAATCACGACAAATATTAATTTTTAATTGTAGTTCCCTTCACGATTTCTTGTTGCAAATTTAAATTTCATCACAGAAATTTGTAAATATTTTTACAACGCGACAAACACGCTCCTCTCCCACCTTATTCATAGTTTAATTTTAATTTATCACCCAGAATCTGTGTGACACGTGTTATGCACGTCGCATAATATATATCGAATTTCTTCGTTAAATACTCAACGTTCGTTCAATTAACACACGGATAACATTAAAAAATTATATATAAACTTTAATGTCACATAATAAGGTAAAATACTTAAAACATAACTAATTAACTTTGAGTTCGAAACAAAATATCCTCAAATAATCGAATACTAAAAAATACATGCATGCAGCAACACCTCGCCTTTCTTAGCAGATGAAGTATAAAAACCCCACATAAAGTATTAAGACCATTATAAACAAACACAAAAACACAACTGATGCCGTGATGCGCTAGCTTTATAATGAACGATAACATTCACTGCAATTGCATGCATACCAGCTTGCATTAAAGTGAATTATCGAGTTAAGAATGGCTTAAAAATTTCGCAGATATGAATAAAACCGACAACACAAAGTAAGTACGGCATGGCATTTTACTACTGAAATGTTTACACTTATCCAAACCGGCACAACAACAATTAAATTATCAAAGATATCAACATCAAAACATCAAAACAATTATTATACAAACTTTGTTTCACGGTTGAACAGCCTCTAATTCATGAAACTGCAGGCTTATTTCCAGTTAAAATCGAGGAAAAAAAAGTGATTACTTTCTTAAACTTTTTAAAGAAATTTGAAACAAAAAATTGCTTGTAAAACAGCAAAATACGCCCTTTTAAAATGAACTGCAATTTACTTCGACAGATTTGGTACTCGCGCATGCGCATAACGTCGAAAACCGTCCATGACATAAACAAAATGGAGGACAATTTTGCACCCCGCTATGTTTTCACATACCCGGGTATAATTAGCCGTGCGGAATTAGTACCCTCGCACGCTCAGGTACATTAATGCCTGGGTCTGTCCACGTTCCAGAATTCAACACACGCGTGCGACACGCGGGACTTTGCATTCGCGTGGTTACTAAATGTTGTTGTTTTTATAGCGCGGTGTATTAAAACAGCCTGACAGCTCGTAGTTTGTTTTAAATTATTAAAACTCTAATATCTAATAGTAAAAGAATCTAGCTGAATATGGTTTTGATGTTTTTT